AAAATGGGCTTCCAAATCAATAAACAGAAATTATTTTATAAGAACTTGTACTTAAGGAGTCATTCATTACCCATCCAGAATGCATGAACACTTCCCTAATATTTTTGTGGAAAGAATATTTTTAAAAGTGACAAAAAGTGTTAACTAGAGGGAGTCTGGGGAAAAAGTAAATCCATTTAATCTGAGTTCCTCTAAACATAATTCCTTCAACAACCTTCCCTACAGTTATGCAGAATGCACAAATTTGAGTCATGGTCAGTAACCTTCCCCCAAGAAACTGAAAACCTTCCAGAGTTGCCAGCAATGCATAGCGTGGGTGGAGCTGAGCTCATGCATACTTAATCACATTGATAGGATGGCTGCTGTGCTCAATGGCCACAATGATGCCTCCAGAATCCAGGATGGTATAATAGTGGGGTCCTTCCAGCATCTTCGCCCAGGAGTAACCGCCATCATCTGAGATGTACACATCCGGGATCATCACTGAGATGGCATCCCCCACGCTACCTGCAACACAATCCACCATCTCCTCAGCACCAATCAGCAATGGAACAGAAAGGATTTACTGCCAAGACAATAATTTTGAATGAATTTATTATTTCCCATCATGCTTCTTGTGATAGGAAAAAAGGCCACTGAAAATTTGGGATAGGGGGTAGTCATGCTGCTTTCTCTGATGCAAGTCTATGAAAAACCCAAAGTACCATTATCATGCAAGAAATTCTACAAAGGATGGTAAAAGCCACATAATGCTGCTTTTCTTATAGGGTTCAAGGCCATGATTGAGTTTCAGTGTGGTCAGCTACTTCTTCCTGTGGAGGGGAGCAGAAGGGAGGGCTGCTTACCATGGGCAATGACTATGCCAACAGCATTAGGCTCTGAGAGGGGAGGCATTGGAACGTTTAGTTTCTGGGAAATGCTGTATGAAGCATGAATATGAAGGCTGCACTGTGAAAAGAAACCAAAGTTGAGATTAAAACCAAAGGTGCAATATTTTACTAATCCCACAGAGCCTTCTAATAAAACTTTGAACCCAGACCTTATGGGATACTCCTTTTTTTAAAAAAATATTGTGATAAAATACACATACCATATTGTGTGTATGACCATGTTTAAGTGTATAGTTCAGTAGCGTTAAACACATTCACACTGTTGTACAATCATCACCACCATCCTTCTCTGAACTTTTTCATCCTGCAAAACTGAAATTCTCTACCCATTAAACGATAACTCTCCATTCTCCCCACCCCAAGCCCCTGGCAACCACCATTCTGCTTTCTGTCTATGAATGACAACTCCAGGTACCTCATATAAGTGGAACAATAGTGTATTTGTCTTTTTGTGACTGGGTTATTTCATTTAGCATAATGTCCTTAAGGTTAATCCATGTTATACCATGTGTCAGAATTTCCTGCCTATTTAAGGCTGAATAATATCCTATTGTATGTATGTACCACATTTGTTTATCCATTCATCTGTCAATGGACACCTGGACTGCATCCATTTTTTTGTCTCTTGTGAACAATGCTGCTATGAACACAGGTGTGCAAATATCTCTTTGAGACCCTCTGTTCAATTAATTTGGATATATATACCCAGAGGCAGAATTTCTGGATCATAGGTAATTCTATATTTAATTTTTTCAGGAACCTCCATATTGTTTTCCATAGTGGCTGTACCACTTTTCATTCCCATGAACAGTGTACAAGCGTTCCAATTTCTCAACATCCTTACCAACACTTGTTATTTGTTATTTTTATTTTTTGATAGTAGCCATCCTAATGGGTGTGAGGTTCTCTCTTGCTGTGGTTTTGATTTGCATTTCCCTAATAATTAGTGATGTCAAGCATCTTTTCATATGCTTATTGGCCATTTGTAGATTTTCTTTGAGTTTTTTTGTTGTTGTTGAGTTATAGGCTTAGTGGGATATTCTTGATTCTGTAATGCAGTAGTATATTTGGGAACAAATTATGCAATTATTTTCTCACGTGTAATCTGTCTTAGTTTATTTTATTCCTGCATTACACCAAAACCTCTGATCAATATTTAAAGTATGATTCTGCACAAATAAATATGATGAATGCCTATCATATTTCAGATACTGTACAAGATGTGGTGGTGATTCAAAATAAGACCCAGTCCTGTCTTTAAGAACTATTTCTCAGAGACTAGCTGAGGTATAAAGCAGAACAAAAGTCAGTGCTTTAAAAGAGGCTCAAATTAGTTAAAATGTTAATTTGATGTCATGTATATTTTACTGCAATGAGAGGTTCAAGCGAACTATGAATGAAATGAATTGGAATGACTGGTTCTGAAGACGGGCAGTGAGGATGGTTAGGGTTTCCAGTAATCCTAATGAACTGGGGGTTGGGAAGACGGTCACGGCTTCCCCAGGAATATGGGCAGGCCAGGGGTAGGGGCACATACAGAGGGTGACAATGCGTACGTCAGTGATAACATGAGCAATGACAAGGAAAAGGCAGAAGAGAGCCTGACGGGGAGGAGAGGACCTTCATTCACCAGGTCACAGACTATTCACAGGCAAAGGGGAACCATGAAGAGTGTTGAGGAGGGTGAGGCTGGCAAGGCAGTAAGCAGGCCACTGTACCTCCCCAGGCTTAAGGTGAGGAGGGCAGGCGCAGAGCCAGGCCATGGCAGAGGGACGGGGAAAAGGAGGCAGAGGGATGGAGACCTAACAGCACTTATGAGTATGGGGAAGGGGGAGAGAGAGAGTTGGCGGTGGTGTAAGTGCACTTTATCTCACACTGTCTGAGGCTCTTCAAATAAAACAAAAACCCTTCCTAGAACAGCACATCAGCCACAGGTATTCTGAGGAGAGCTCACGAACTACCAACACTGTCATTTTTTGAAGAAAACTCTCTTAGTGTTCCCCTATGCTCCTCTCAAATTCTAAAAGAGTCAGACACAAAGCTTGTTTTTCTTTCCTTTTTTTTCTCGCCTGTCAAGACCTGTCACTCCTAGAATCTGGGATCTCCTGGAGCAACACCTCTGTATTTCTAGTTCTCAGTCTTTCCTCAGAAGAGTCAGCTCACTGCCAGGTCATGAAACGCCACCTGGCACTCAGGCAGAGGGGCAGAGAAGGCCAAGTTCTCTTCTACTTGTTTCTCGCCAGTGTGGCTTTGTGCTGCTCAGGGACGGTTGGCTGGCCTATGGCTTTTGTAGAATTCCTAACGTCTCATAGCTGTCAAACTGATTCCTAACTAATCACTGGCCCATCTGTCCATTCTGTTGTCATTTAGCAGTTTAATCAAACACAAATTGTTGCCCTCCGTTTTCTTTTTATTTAGAAGACAAATAATCCACAGTATTTTGGCCTTTCTTGACAGTTCCTATTTCCTACATTCTGAGTTAGTTTCATTATTCTCATTTCCAAACTTTCCACCTTTACCTGTGAACCCTAACCAAGTACAAAACTTCATTATTCAAAAGCCTGGCACAGTAAGAGCAGAGCAGAAAGGACGCTTTGCTCCAAATATTGGGTTGTCAGAAAAGTCAAGATGCATTTTTGCAACGAAAAACAGAAAAAATATGTCATGACTTTTCCGACAACCCAATACATATGACAATTGGAGTAAAACAAACCTCATTTTTATTTTTTGCTGTGGCATCACATTCACTGTTTTCGGGCTTCCGTAGGTGCTCCCACCTTCCTCCTTGGTCAAACGTGATCATGGTTTGGATAGAATTATCTGAATGGGAAAAGAATGACATTAAGCATGATACACTGGAAGCACCCTATTAAATTCAGTTTATTATTGCAGAACTCTCTCCTGAGAATATAACACCATTATAACCCCGGAGTCCTGTGAGCTTGTGACACCCAAAAAAACGGCTCAGTGTTGGTGAGTAACTGAGCAGCACTCTAAATATGATTCCAAAGAAGGCTTCCCACCTGAACAGGACCCAACTGATTCCTGAAATCATCTAGACCAGTGGTTCTCAACCTGTGGGTCACGACCCTTTTGGGGGTCAAATGACCCTTTCACAGGGGTCGCCTGAGACCATCGGAAAACAAAAAGATATTTACATTACAATTCATAACAGTAGCAAAATTACAGTTATAGAGTAGCAATGAAAATAATTTTATGGTTGGGGGTCACCACAACATGAGGAACTGTATTAAGGGGTCGTGGCATTAGGAAGGTTGAGAACCGCTGATCTAGACTGACACTCACAAAGATACTTTTTACCTTCTTACTAATACAGACTGATGTCCATTCTCCTTTCTTGCTTGGTCTTAGAAGTAAAATCTACAATGGGAAGGCGTCCTCATCTTTCCTCAGACAAGGCCATGAAACTGGGCTTGTTTTAGGGAATCTCAAGATTTGAATGTATGTGCCTACATCTAAATTAATAATCCCTAATTTTTGTCTCTTCACTACCCCATATCCTATCCCTCTTACACCTTTTCTTTTTTTTCTCACGTCTCTTCCCCATTCTTTATTTTCAATGATGTAAACTGTTGCAAGTTTAAATTCAGAGAGAATATACTTTGAGTCTTTCAAGGAAAAACAAACAAGAAAGCAAATGAAGGAAAATTCATTTATTCAATAAATATTTATTATGTGCCCACTATGTGAAAACAGTTTTAAGCCTTTGGGACTATATCAGTGAACAAAACAGAAAAAAAACCTCTGTGAAATATACATTCTAGTAGGGTGAGACAGATAAACACTAGATGTTGTAAAGAGGTAAATTATATAGTATGTTAGAAAATAAGTGCTATGGAAAAAACTTGCACAGCTAAAGGGGGACTAAGACTGTGTGAGTGTGTGAGTGTGTGTGTGTGTGTGTGTGTGTGTGTGTGAGTGGGGGAGGGCAGACTGAAATTTAAAATAGGATAGTTGGGGCAGGTCTCATTCAGAAAGTAAATATGAACCAAGACTGGAAGGAGGAAGGTGCCAGCCTGGCAGCTATCTGGGGAAACGAAGAGAACAGTCAAACCACAATGTGTGAACCTGGTGTGTGCAAGGACTGGCAGAGAGCTGGAGTGGCTAGAGTGGAGTGAGAGAAGGGGAGGAGAGTTGGAGGTGAGGTCAGGGAGGAAACAGGAGGCCAATGTCACTTAGGACCTTATAGGCTACAAGGTCTGTACAAAATAAAAACAAACATTCCCTACCTCCTACAAAAAAAGTAAATACACAAAACCTTAAGAGTCTTTTACTTTAGAGTCATGTGTTTATTTGTATAACTGGTCATTAGTAAAGCTAAGCGTTGCAGAACCACTGCACAGAATGCAAGAAGAATCTTGGCTGGCTGTTGCTATGCCCTCTATGAAGAGAAAAGCAGGAAGTGGTTCAAATACAGTCTCATTCAGTTGGCCTGAACCTCGCAAAACAGAAGACTTATTTTATAAACTAAACATAGAACCCCCAAAATACTACTTTCTACCTGTGGATGCTTTGCTCTTCCTTAGCTCTATGTACTATAACTTATTTAAAGCAAAGGGCCAGAATTTACATGGGTAGGCTGTTGGGTAGCTAGGCAAGCAACATTACTGGGGGGACTGGACCATCACTCTTCCCCAAAGCCTCAACTCCCAACATGTTCAGCGAAGGTCAGTGGTGCCAGGGCTCACCTTCTGAGAGCACACTTGTAATGTAGACCCCGCGGAGGGAGGTCACATTGGTAAAGTCTGTCTCGCCACCTGTGGTGGTGTAGAGATGTCGGTCCAAGGACTTGGAATAGACAATGCCTCGATCGTCTGAGGTAAAGATTGTGCCAAATCCAGTATCTGAAATAGGCAAACAAACAAAAACACTAAGTCTCAGGAGGGAACAGAGAAACAATAGTCTAACCATGACTGAATGACTGCACATTAGCCAACTGTCTCTCTTCATGATGTAGACGCAGACCTGAGAATTAATCAAGGTTGGATACGCAAGACCTTCATGTCCATCTTAAATTCTAGTACCCAACTTAGTGCCTGCAATATGGTACATGCTGAGTCTGTTGAATGAATTAATCAGATACTACAGAAAAGTTCTACCCAGATATATTTTGGTGGCAGAGATACTGTATTTAGATTCATATCTTACACATCTCTAAATCTTTATACTCTGGAACAATGCCTCTCAAGTTATCTGTGGTGAAGGATCAATTTTTAAACTTCCATTATGTCACAAATTGATGCTTTTGTAAAACATAATAAAATTAATCATTAGAAAAATGAAATACCAAAGACAGACAAAATATATTCATCAACTCTTTTATCACTAGACTCAACAGACATAAAATTATTTTGTCAAATGGCTTATAAGAATTTCTAAGTGCTTGCTGTCACTTTCTATCCTTATTCGGTAACAGAGTTTGCAAAGAGCACCAGTCCTCCAGCCATTCTTTGAGCAGCATTGCTCTAGAACTCTTGGACTCACATACAATCCATATAATGTCAGAACAAGTGGCCTTTTTAACAGAGGCTACATTTATCTCTAAGACAGAATATTCAATAGAACACTAATAAATTCCTAGGAGTAAAAGGAAAAATGTACACATAAGAAAGAAAACTACTCAAAGTCAGGCTAGAATCTTAAATCGCTATGAATTCAAGGATGGACCACTAACAAGCTCTCACCTCCAGGTTCATCTACGTGCATGAACACCATGTCATCATTAGCTGCTAGAATGGAATAGAACTGCTCCTGCCCCACAGAGGGGAGCTGGGCCATGCTCCACGTGTCCCCTTCGTCTGTTGACACGTGAATCCTTCTTGTTGTATCCTGAAACAAATGCCAGCATTCATCTTTTCAATTTTCCGTCAAGGTGCCGTGCACAGGGACATAATAGGAACATAATTACTAATAATTACGTGTATCATTATCCATTTCCTCACTGGGTACAATTGTTATCAACGAAAGGTCCCATTACCAACTAGCAAAGCACTTTCTAACCTCTAGCAAAGTTCCAGCAGTGGGACAATCCATTCTATTGTAAGTAAGCCTCACTTGGCTTCCTCTTTGGCTTCTTCATTTTGGTGTGGCCTGTAAAATATTATCCTCCCAACTTCTGACATTCCAATCTCCTTCAGTAGAACCAAGGGTGTGATGGGACCATCATTTGTTTGGCTTTATAGCCATTCACATATGATTGCTCAGATAATTCTTAAAATGATGATTGCTGCATAAAGGTGTGGTCCCTTTGAGATAGTCCAGGCATGATCCAAAGAGTTAGATAATTAAGGGTCTAGAAAATGAAGATGGGGCTCTCCCATTGGGAGATCTCAAGGGAAGTCAGATGTGGCACATCTTAGAGCTGCCATAATGAAGGGAATGTGCACAGGCTGGGAAGAGGCCAAGGAGAGTCAGAAATTAATAAAAGGAAGCTGATCAGGGAGTATTTAGCTGCTAAAAAAGGTCTGTTAAGGATGCAATTAACACCTACTTTCTGATAAACAGTTTAAAATAGCTACTAGACACAATTAGCCATGGCACAAAAATTAGTCCCAGGGCCTCTTTATGTTAAATACTCTTTCAAGTTCAGTGACAAGTATATTAAACTTATTTTTCTCACTTATACCTGTGAGTGTTTACTTTGAATCTTACTTTCATTGTTATAGGTAGAAACTAGAGTTTAAAAGCACAGAGTGAGATTTTAATTCTGTAAGATAGGAGCTGTGTAGTGTAGGAAGCTACCTCTGGAATCAGTCTGATCTCCACCAGGGTTCCACTCTGCGTGGCCCCAGGCAAGTTACTCAATTTCCTCAAATAAAAATTGAGATAACAGTATTAACTGATAGGGTTATTGGGAGGATGACTACAAAGTTGCCGAGGGAATTACCTGTAGTCTCTGTGTCTGCTTCCCATCTCCAGTTCTCTCTGGACCCACTCCAATCAGTCCTTTAGCCTCAGTACTCCAGGCAAACTGCTTTGCCAACTCCAGGGGATAATTCTCAGCACTCATCTAACTAACTCAACATGTCAGTTGAGTTTCACACATCTGATCACTTCCTCCTCCTTGAAATACTTTTTTCTCTTGGCTTTCATGACAGCACACTGTCCTATTTTCCCTGCCTCACTGGGCCCTCCCTCCCAGACTTCTCTGCTGGGTTCTGCATCTCTCTCCACCCTTCCAGTGCGGCGCGCCTCAGGGCATGCTCAGTCCCCCCCCTCTTCTCTGCCTACTCATTCCTACAGAAGATATCATCTAGTCACATGGCTTCAAACACCATATAATTTGGGGAGATTCATATATGGAAATGCTTGCTTGACATTTCCACTTAGATATCCAATAGGCAACTCATAATCAAAACTGAATTCGATATTTCCTCTCACAAACTTCTTCTCCTGTAGTCTTTGCCATCTTAGTAAATGGCACCACCATTCACCCAGTTGTTCAGACCAAAGACTATAAAGTTATCCTTGTTCCTCTCATCCTCTCACAATCCACACCTAATCCATCAGCAAATCCTACTGGCACTACATTTAAAATACACATCCACTGCCTTACCACTTCTCCGCTCATCCACTGTTGCCAGCCTGGTCCAACCTACCACCTCTTACAACTACTGGAGCAGCCTCCCAGCTGCTCTTGCCGCTTCCATTTCTGCCCCGTCAGACTAGTCTACACACACTTATTCTGTCAAAAGAGAAGTCAGATTATACCATTCCCCTGCTCACCACCCTTTCACAGCTTCCCAACACAAGAAGAACAAAGGCCGACGTCTTAATTACACCCTATTAAGGCCCTGTGTGATCTGGCTGCTGGCTCCCTTGCTTTTCCCTTCTCTGTGCTCCAGCTTCTCACTTTCCTCTGATACTTCAAGCTCCGGCCTGATGCCTTTGCACTTGCTGCTTCCTCAGCCTAGAACATAGTCCACATAGCTATGTTCTCACCTCAGTCAGGTCTCAGAGAGCCCATCCAAACCACCCCGCCTAAAACAGCCCTGCTCCAATTCCTGTCACTTTCTATTTCCTTACTCTGCTTTAGATTTCTTCACAGCTTTAATCATTACCTGATACTATTGGGTTGTCGGAAAAGCCATGACACATTTTTGCAACGAAAAACATAGAAAAAATATGTCATGACTTTTCCAACAACCCAATAATTAGTTTAGTATCGATCTCCCCTATTTAATAATAAGCTCTGAGAACAGGACATTTATCTGTTTTGTTCACTGCTATATTCCCAGGACTTAAGAGTAATACCTAGTATATAGTAGGTACTCAATTAATGTTACCTATTTACATCATTATTACTGGATAATGAGCAAGTGGATTGCTTTTTTCAGATATCCATGTCTGAGTAAAGCCCAACCACTGTGTCTATCCCAGAATTCATGCAGTGCAGAGTAGCCCAGAAGGGTCAATTGGCCTCTAGAAAAAGAATCACCCCAACTCTTATAGTGATATTGAGTATTGCAACAAGGCAAGAAACTCTGACAGTACAAGTCATAAAAGGCTCTATTTGTGGCATATTTACAGAAACATCAGAACCCAAAGAGGCAAACACTCACCTTATCAGCCATCACAGAGGCAAAAAGGAAACGTCCCCCAAGACCAAATGAATAGATTTTCACGCCAATGGTTTTGAAGCTTTTCCCCAAGTCTGAAGTTCTCCATAATTCGAGTGCCCCAAGGTCAGCTTCTTAAACAAGACGAAATATTAATTAAAATTCCATTTACTGGTGAGCCTTTAGTTCAAAAACTGTTTTAGCAATGTCTTTAATTTTATATCTACAGCATGTTTAATCTTATGCATGTTAATCCAGTGAGAATATAAAATGATACATGATACAGCATCAGACATAGACAGTTCACATTTGTGTTTTATTTTTATACATGTGAGCTTTCACATTGGACAGAAAGATAGAGTTTACTTAATTCCAACGGAGCATTGCGTAAGAACATCACAGCCACAGCACCCTGCTTTACTTTCTTCATGACACAGTTTGAAATTATCCTATTTTAAGTTGTCTTGTTTGAGTTTTGGTTTTCTGGTTGATCATCCAACATCCATACTTGAATTTCATTCCATTTAGCTCCATGAGAGCAGGCCTTAGGAATCTTGTTCTCTCCATCCTTAGAGTAGTGTTAAGTGCGCTAGTGCAGGTGCTCAAATGAATGAATGAAGTGAATGTGTTGAATAAATAAGTGAAAAATTATGCTTTGTGCTTTGAAACTGTGCCACTGATTGAAAAGCCAGTGGCTTCCACTGACAAATACAATCCATGCTCACTATACATTTCAATTTGTGACTGTTTGTAGCCTAATATTTACTTTATGTAAATACATTGCTAAGATCAAATATACTGTCTCTGTGTGCAGCCTGCATTTTTACTTGATCTAGGCACAGTATAGTAATTTGACTGCACTTTCAAGATTTTAAAAGTCATTAACAGCTATCTTTCGCTATTAAAACTACAGAAGAATGGAAGGATCTTTGATGTTTCTACCCTTAAAACCCAGAATATTCTACCACGAATGGACAACACTCTCTTCAGGGACTAAAATATACTTACTGCAGGAGCCATTCACATAGGTGGTAAAGAAGATGGTGTTTTCTGATCCCCTACAATGAGGCAAAGACAAGGGAAAAGACATGGTTCAGGACTCAACGGACTGTGTCAACCTTCACCGCAAAGCTCCACGCAAGTCTAACAAGCTCCATCCACAGGTGTCAGCCAACACAGCCTTCTTGGATACTGTCCACCTGATTCTTTCACAGCCTCACAGTCAAGGCTCCCAACAGCCTGGCCCCAGGCATTTTCCATAGCCCACTACTTCTTTATGTCAGCTCTTCTAGCTCATCCAACTGGTCTACTTATGGTCTCCAAAGCTGCCTTTTGCATTTACTCATACTGTTTCCTTCTTTCAATGCTATTCTCTTATGTAACCAAATCTTACCCTCACAACCTTCAGGCTCCAGCTTAAAATCTAGCTCTTCCATGAAGCTTTCCCTGTCACTCCAACCAGAAGGCTTCTTTGCTGCAAACTTCTAGAGCAGTGATTCTCAACCAGGAGCGGTTTTGCTCCTTAAGGGGCATTTTTGGTTGTCACAACTGGGGGAAGGGGAGTCGTTACCAGTATCTATTGAGTAGAGGCTAGGGATGCTGCTAATGAACATCCTACAATGCACAGCATGGCCCCCACAACAAAGAACTGTCCAGCCCAAACTGTCATTAGTGCTGAGGTTGAGAAGCTCTGTTGTAGAGTACTGTGCCATGCTGTACCAGCCGCTCGGCACTGCTTTGTCTCCCCCTGAGTTCTTTTACTCACATCTCCTGCACTGTTGGGTTCGTTAGGGCAGGTACTAAGTTGTATGCCTTGTTGTTTCCCCTTAGAACCTAGTTCAATGCTTTGCATGAGCTAAATAATTTAGTTCTTTCATCTCAAATAGACAACTAGGTTGAATTATTTAAATTCTAACTTGGAAGGGGAGTTCGCAGGGAACTAGATTCAGACCCTGATAGTACTTATAGTCTGGCACCAGCAAAAGAAGCTGGCCCTCTGCATGTTTTTTCAGAACTTTAGGTGGTCAATTCCTAGAAATCAAACCTCTAAAAGGTGAATAAACAGTGATCAGCAGCCCAGTTATCTTATAAAGGCACTAATCAAATAAATAAGTTATAAAAGTAAAAAATCTTGTATAGAATACAAAATAAAATACCATTTTAAAATAACTTTTTAGTTTTAAAGATGAGTTTATTTGTTCCTTTTAGCTTTATTGAGGTATAACTGACAAAACTGTGAGCTATTTAAAATGTACATTGTGGTCATACATATGTAAAGATGAGTTTTAATGATCAAAATTATAGTCTTTCTTGAACACATCCTACATATTTTAGGTCCATCACAAATGAAACAATTTGTTAACTTAGTTACTTTAAAAATTACTTTCTTCCTGATAGACCATATAAGGTATAAACACAATTCATTAAAACACATAAAATGAAAGCAGATGTGGCATTTGTACCATAGTGGTATGGTAAAAACCTCATTTAACCATCATTTTCTGGAAAAGACCCACTTCAGTTAAGCAACATTTTAAAATATTTTAGCTAATTTTGGTAGATATATTTGGCAAAGTCTATATTACATATTTCTCAGACTCCCTAAGTAGAGGACATTAAATATTAAATTCTTCCTTGGGATGATGGATCGTTGTGAACATCAACATATGAAACCATCACACAGTTTTCCCATCAGAAGTTACTGAGGTGTGTGTGCTCTCTTGATCTAGCACTAATTTCATCCTGCTATGTTCTCTCAGCTTCTGCCTGCTCTTACAGTTTTCTTGCTTGTTGTTTGCACTCATACACCCCACCTCTGGCAGCAATCTGCTATTAACTGGAAAACCAGATTAACAAATTTGCTGAAATTAGTCAAAGAGAAAGAACAAAGAGGCTCTAAACAAGGGTCTGAGCCTAATCAGAATTTTGGAAGTATGAAGGGTCTTAATTCAGTTCTTGCTCAACCATCCCCCAAGTCCCTCAAACAAATCTCCATTCATAGACAGAAGGAAAAAACTAAAGCCCAGAGAGGTTAAGCCACTGACTAGCAGCGGAGCCAGGTTAGAACAAAGGTGGCCTGACTCCCCAGTAAGCGCCCCCTCCACTGTATCATCTTTAAGCAGGCACCTGGCCGGGGGTGTGGTGGGGGGCGGGCAGGGAGGCGTACAGAGAAGTGAATGAGTTCTGTGCACGGACTGTGTGACTCTAGCACTGGAAACTCTTTGGGCTTTCTTCCTGATTCCTCGCTACAGTCCTCATAACTAAAATGGATCTCTGGATGAAGGAGTGTCAATCTGGGCACAGAAAAGTACGGAAGTCCTCAAATCAAAGCTGCGTTTTATGCTATCCCAACTGATGTCACCGTTTATGAAGAATAAGCCTTTTGCAGGCAGCAGCTACTCAGTCACATGCCTTGTTTTCTACTTTCTAGTCTAACACTTTGTGAGGCCAAGTCTTCTTTCCCAGCAGAATGAGAAGCTCCTCCAGGTCAAGGTCTGTGTCATACCCCTCTCTTGTATCCCTGTGGCACCTGAAGAGTACTTGGCACATAGTAAGTGCTCAGTATTTATTCATGTGACTCTTGGCAGCACTGTCAGGAAAGGTTTAGGGCTCTGCACAGACGGAGTCTTCTGTTACTCACCATTTGGCCAAACATACTGCTTTGTGGATTTCTTCCCATTTTCCCCCAAAATTCTTGGACACCCACAGGCCATTCTGAAAGATTATAAATGACTTATCAAAATTCCAGCTTTATCCTGTGCAGCTGCTTATATGACCTTAATAATTCATATCTAATCATTCAGGACAGTAAACACACACTGAGGTTCTGTCCGAGTCGCCTGAGCGCCAGAGACATACACACGGTTTACGGGGGCTGCTTCTAGGTCTTTGAAGTTCAGAAAAACAAATGCTTATGAAGTGCCTACTATGTGCCAGGCACTGTTCCAGACATTGCATTGGGGATACAAAGATGAATAAGACACAATCCTGCTCTCAAAGAGCTCACAATTTAATAAAGGTCCCAGATAAGAAAGTTTGATACAATGTGGTAAGTGTTATGGAAACATGGTCTCTGGGGTAAGAGTAGGGAGAGGAGGTACACTGCACCAGAGACGGTTTGTGAAGAAGAAAGCTGAACTGAGTCTTAAATGATGAGCAGTGTCACCAAAAGAAGGCAAATGGGAGATCAGATGCTATGGCACAAAGACAGACTAGTACTAGGAAAGGCAGACGGGTGCTAACACATCGCAGTGTGCAGGGAGTGCAAAGCCTTCAGATATTGATGGAGCACAAATTCCAAGATGAAGGAAGGAGTAGCAAATGCAGGGAGTGAGGCAGGGCCAGCTCAGAGACCCTCTTCCTATGCTAGGCTGAGGAATCTGGTCTTTATATGAGGTACGCAAAGGAGGTGCTCTAAGTAGGAGAATGACACAGTTGGTTTTACTTTTTTAGGTGGAATACTTGGGTGACAATGGGAACGCCAGATTTCAGGGGGTTCAAATCAGAAGCAGGAAAAGCAGTAAATAACTGTCACAGTTCATTGAGAGTTGGTGAGGCCCTAAACCACGGCTGTGAGGAACAGGCTCAGGAAGAATTTAGAAGTTAGATTCAGTAGAACTGGACAACTTTTCCTGTAGGGCAGGATGGAGAGAGAGAGGGAGAGAGAGAGAGAGAGAGAGAGAGAGAGAGAGAGAGAGAGAG